GGTCTGGGAAAAATGTGAGAGGCCAGGATTCTTGTGGGTGATATCTTTTATTGGACCAGCTGCACAGTTGGGCAAAACTTGGATAAACTTTCTAATGCAATCCATTCGAGAGAAGAGGACAAATTCTCAGCTAGCTCCAGAGATTTGAAAGAAAAAATGCTAATTTACATCAGCTAAACATATGATCCAGACACTGTAAAGAGCTTAAAAGTTTCTGCTGAAGATAGTCAGGCCTGCATGTTCTGACACTCATAACTTTGTATTAAAAAGCCAAGGTGCAATCCAATGGGGCAATGACCATTTATCCTAACTGAGGATCTGGCCAGATGTGTCCAAACTGTTGGAGATGCATTAACTGAGGTGGTCTAGGCCAGATTCTACAGTCATTTATATCAGTGGAAATCCAGATTCATCCCGCTGAATCCAGCAGAGTTAATATGTCAGAGCCTCAGCTGATATAATCCTGCAAGTCTGTTAGAGTCAGTAGAGATACACCAGTATACTATACTTGGGCTGAGGATCTGGCCCATCTTATTGCAGTGGTTCACAACCTTTTTGGACTTGACACTCCTTTCACTGGCACCCCCCCCCCCCCATAAATTTTGTGAATTGAGTGGCACCCAATTTCAAAAACTAATTTCTATATTACAGCGCTTACTTTCTTACACAGGCTGGGCAGTAGGGGTTGGGGATCAACTAGGCAGGAACAAGCTGACTGCTGAGGAATTGCTGATAGTTGATTGTTGAGTGATTGCTGAATGACTGCTGCCTGGGCCTGACAGAAGCCCTAAGGAAGGGGCAGAGCCAGTCCAGGCCCAGTAGGGCATAAAAGGAGACTCCCTATGTGACCAGGGAGCCAGTGACTAGGGACTGCAAACAGGGTAAGCAGTTGTCAGGCCAGTTTCTAGGCCAGTTCATGGTTAGTGGAATAATCTATTGCCATACAATGGTAGGGATACATTGTACCCCATGGCTTCCCACCTTGGCCCCAGCTGATGTCTCTCCCGCTTGCATCACTGAGGCCTTTACCCAGACAGAGCCCCTGGTTCCAACGGTTCCTGGTTTCAAACAGTGACTGGATGCATACCTTGCTGGGGTTATTTGACCCCAGCAGTCTTTCCTGCTCAGAGCAGGGGGGCTGGACCCGATGATCTAATGAGGTCCCTTCCAACCCTAAACTTCTGTGAATCTGTGAAGCACCTAGCCTGGGTTATTTGCTTAGTGTATCTGTTTATTGCCTCACAACTCACTTATCTCCTTACAGCTCCTTGTGGCACTCTTCAAAGGATCTGGAGGCACCCCAGCATGCCCTGGTACCCTGACTGAGAATCACTACACTAGTGTATCTGGAGCAGAATCTAGCTCATAGTTATAGACCACTTCTAAATTCTCCAAATTCATCTTTTGTATGTTGCGCTTCCCATCTCTGCCTCCTCTCACTCAAAATGGTCATCAATATATTTCCCTGCTATTACATAGCTCAGCTCCAAAATGGCTGAATAGATCTTGCACAAACACGCTCCTACATACAGATCTTTTTGTAACAAGGGAATATGTCAGCTCTGACAGTAAATATTTCAGGAACCTACAAATCTGGTAGAAATAGGGGAGAAAGTTTAGAATAGAAAATGTTTTGAAACCTCTGAATGGCTTGCACTTGCATCACTTGCATAACAGCTGTCATAAACCTTAATTTGCAATTGCACTAAGAAAATATATTTAGACCAGAATGTCACAGAGCAGGTTCTGTATAGTATATGACATGAACCAGAACCTAATTAGGGAGTGCTGCTTAAATACTTACAATCCATTGAAAGACATTCCTGGAAAGGCTCAGAAGGGTCCTTGCTGAGAAACCATTAGAAGCAACCTGAAGAATGACATCAGTGAAGCTTTCTGGTTTTGATATCCATTCCATTGGTTTCAGTATTAAGTCAGACACAAACCTGGCCCAGACCAGGTGTACAATAGAGTAGTCTCAGGGTGCATAGCACTGAGGCTAAGGAGCTCAGACATAGTGAATATGTAGCTTGCTATAAAGCAGTTATGGTACAATTTAGGGCTTGCCTGACATTTAAAGTTCTTTATCTCTCCATTTGTACTACTGGGGTAGGCACAGAATGATGTTAATTAACTGGAGGTTTACCCACAGGGAGCCACCACTGAAGAGCTGCTTTGGAACCTCGGCATGTGCTATGCCAGTCAAGATGGCTGTGATGTTCAGTTTGGCTTAGATCTTTGGCTGGGCATACTGCCACAGCTCTGCTGACCTTCAGAGGAGTAGCTGGAACATGCTGCACTACAGCCATTCTGTCCTTCCTAGGTTTCACAGGCATTAGCAGAGCATTAGTTCTAGCAGTCCGAGGATTACTTTCTAACTTGTGCTGAGGGCCGTGAAGGTTCTTATCTGCCCTACTGCACAAGGAGCACACAGTTACCTCCAACTCATCTTTGCTTCCTAACCTCACTTCACGGCGTTTGAAAATCCAGATGATCTTTTCTCTTCTTCTGATGTAGAAACATACTGGAGCTGTAGTTGTGGGCTAGGTGCTGTATTTTGTGGTGCCACTTGCTGTACTAACACAGAACAAAAGAGAGTCCATACCAAAGTGTTTACAATCAAAACCTTGCCTTCCCTTTTACTGACCCAGGAGCCAAGGGTTTTATTTCCTTCCCCCATTATTTTATGGGGCACAGCTAGTTTATGCCCACTGTTTTTCCCTTGCTTTCTATACAGTTACCTCTGAGGCTCAATATAAAGTCATTTGTGATGATCATGTGGACAAGCAAAGCACGAGTCATTGCAGAATTATAAAAGCATCCTAAAGCAGCACAATTAGAGGAAGAGGATGATACCTCCTTTTAGATACTGAGAATAGCTACAAGCCAAGATTCTCCAAAGTAACTGGTAACTTTCTGACTTCAGTCACCTTCAGTGGGCCTGATTTTCACAAGATCAGGTGTCTCAGTTCAGCACCAAAAAAACCACTGGTCACTTTTGAAAGCCTTGACTAGAGTTAATGGATCCTGCTTTTGCCAGAACAACAACCTGCAGATTCTGGCCATGTCCAGATGAGTGTGGCCATACAGTATGTGGCACTGAAGACACGTTTATGGCGCCACATACTGCACGTTCAGCTGTTCTCTGTGCTGCAAGGGAGCAGTGCAGGAGGGCTTTTCAACCCCTGGATATCCAGGGGTTAAAAAACCCCACACAAAATAGAATTGGAGTGGCACACGCAGAGGCAGCGTGCACCGCTCAAAACCAGAGCCTGGCCAGCTGGAGCCATACTCCAGCTGCTTGCCTGGCTCTGAGCAGCAGGATTGCTACTGCTGCAGCCCCAGGAAGCCCCCAGGACCCCAGGTAAGACCTCCCCTTCCCCACCTGGGGTAACCTGCTGTGCGCCAGAAAGCACGTGGAACATGCGTTCCCCAGGGACAACTAGTGGTAGTACACCTGGTCTCCAGGGAACGAAACATCCATGCTCGGGTAGACATGGCCTCTGTGTTCCCAGACTTGGTCTTGGATCGATGACTTGATTCTATTAAGCATATTTTAAAGAACTGTTTTTACATTTGAACAAAATCCATCCTGACTCCTTTTTTAAAAAACAAGTAATTCTAAGGAAAAAGTGCTCATAGATTCCTGATTTATCCAGTGTCAAGTTATTTTCTTAATTCCATTTCATGTGACTTATGTCACAGACTTGGACATAAAAGCATAATAACATTTATAAGCAACATTATGTCATCATTTGTTTAAAAAGTAGTAATCATAATGTTGATAATCTTTTTTTGAACCCAGCAAGAGGTTTTTAACATAATGAAAAGACAGGAAGAGTCCCAAGGTTGGCATTTCCTAAAAAAATGTGGACTGTTGTGGGAAAGGAGACAGAGTAAGCTTCCTGCTTTTGTGAAGGCAGTTGACTTTCTACAGCAAGATAAAGTTTAGAGCAGAGCTTTTGCAGAGATCTGGGTTTACTATACTTACCGATATCACATGTACACATTTTTGCCAAACAAAGGGCCTGCTAAGGAGTCAAAGGGCAGTAAAATATGAAAAGCAGCCTGGAAAAGTATTGCTTTTTCTTTGGTCACTGATGACTTACTCTGGCACCGGTATAGCTCCTTTGCAGAGTGGTAGCAGAATTTTAGAACCTTGCAGGTCCCAGTGGAAGAGAAATCAGAGTTGCAGTCTTGTTAAGTTCTAAATGTCACTTGATTTATGTTCATGCACGTCAGTCCTGGAATGAGTTGGTCACAGATGACCTACAAGCTGTCCCTCTCCCCGAGAAATCTCAAAATATCTGACTCTTAGGAAGCTACTCTTGTCACAAGAATTACTTTTGAATGGGCAAATTAAAGCAATGGGAAAACTTTCTTCCACTGTCACTTACAACGGATCACAACCCAATTCACTATTGCTATTTACCTACCTTGTTTCTTCATTTACACCCATGTGCATTAAGCTGAAAAGGCTACCAAATCAGACTTCTGTACTTTCTTACAAGGTCAGTTGTATTTAATAACCATTCTGTGCAGGTGCAAAGGACAGTGTGAATCCTACTTCCCACTGATCCCAAGAGTACAAAGTACTTGAATACACATGCATGTGGCATTTGTAAGGAATCAAACAGCCCCTTTACAACTCACATTGAGGTCAATGGACTAAATTTCTCTATAATGTAGCTGCACTAAACTCATTGGAATTACGTTAGGGATGAGTTTGGCCCAAAGGCAGTTACATCTCCTTGCACATTGGATGAATTTAGTTCTGGGAATACTGGACATGGTGAAGACATAAATTACAAGACAGATTATATCAAATGCCTTTCACACCACTGACAGGGAAAGGGGCCTCATGGCAGGTATTTTTGGAAGGGTGCGATGGGCACTCAGCAGTTTGGATCCATACCTTAACTCTATCTGCTTTATCCTATATAACTAGATAGGATTTTTTTTTATCACAATTTATGGCCTGAATAATACTATCTTTTCAGGTGAATCAAGGGAACACCAAGGTGCTTGGCTCTGGCCTCGGGTATCTGGAACACATCTGTCAGCTCATCGAGAAAATTGGACAACTACAGGAGCACAACCTCCGGCTCCAAAAACAAGTGTGCAGCTTGCAGAAAGAGCAGAAGATGTACCAGATAAAGGAGGTAAGATGATGAAGTCAGAACCTGAGTGGGAAAAACAATCACAATTTGGCTGAACTAAAGGAAAATACCGTCCCTCTTCTATCACCATAACTCCTAGCACAAATGTGAGAGGTCTAAAACAGGCAAAGCACATGTTTACCTTGGCAAGGGTGTTTGCTGGAAAGGGCAGGCTGCTTGAAGGCTATACATGGAGACCTTCCCATTCCTGCACAACACTTGGCTCAGCCCAGCCTTGGGTATTTTTGCTTCTCTATTCTTCTCACACTTTCTTAAAAGTTCCACCTTCCCTCCTCTACAGCCAGATCTTGGTATTAATTGAAGTTGGCTCCTTTTTTTCTAATTGCCTGGACAGTTATGGTCAGCAGCTTTGATCTTTTCCTAGGTCTAGCTGAAAGTTTTCTAAAACAACCTCCCTCAACCTCCCAATTTTATAGGACAGAACATTTTGACTGCACATGCATATTTTAAAGTTTATTTAACAGGAAATTAAGAGACTCCTTGGAATTTCCATTCTGATTCAGAATGAAAACAGAGTCAAGGAATTTCCCACAAAATGGAAGCTGAGACTCACAAATCGTTCTATTAGATGCTTTGGTTAGACAAAGCCAAACTCAGGGACTGACAGCCATTAAGATTGCTTTTGCTACCTGGCATTTTGATGTCTAAGTATAATCCTAAACTGCCCACTTAATAGCAGTTGCAAGGCGAAGTCGGTGTAGCCTGCTAGCTCATCCTCTAGTCAAGAAAAAATTCAATGTCACACATCCGTCAATGTCACACATCCTTTTAAGGTCATCCCTCAGATAATGGATTTTTAACTTGGACACAAAATCTTGTATAGTAGTACAGAACAAAACTATTCATATGACCAAACAGGCTGCAGAGGCCCCTAGGCCTTTCCTTTTGCACCTCTTCCTCATTCAGGGCCAGCCAGTCACCTGCATGCCGTTCGTTTGCTCCCCCAGGTAAAGGTCTTAGTTTCTTATTTTGCAGGCCTCTTATTTTGACCTCTGTCCAGTTGGGTCTCATAAGCAAACAGGATTAGCTGGTCACAATCTTCTGGTCCTTAAAGAGGAAGACCTTTGTGTTATAAGTAATCTCTTATGAGACTTCTAATTGAAATGTATAGAATCCTCCTAAATGTTTTAGACTCAGCCTCCAAACTGTGGGAATTTGTATTTTCATGAATCTTACTATAATTATTGTGTCTTTCCCTTTTCTATTTAGTACTAATACTTGGTAAAACTTGTCGAAAATTTTTCATCCAAATTTTGGATAACATTGGATGAATTTTTTTCTGTGAAAAATGGCTTTTTGACTAAGCTGTGAAACCATTTGACAAAAGAGGGGAAAATTTCCATTTTCTTAGAAATGTAGGGTTTAATCAAAAATTAAAAATTCAAATAAAAATTCTGTCCTAAGCCAAAGCCTTTCAGTTTTCAGTTGTCATAAGCCAAATTGATTTTGGTATTCAGATGCCAAACATCTGGGAAAATTTAATCAAAAGGTTTTTTTAGATCTTTTTCAGTTAGATACCTGAAGTGTTTATATACTAATGCAAGAAGAATGGGGAACAAACAGGAATGATTAGAGGTCCTAGTATGATCATAGAGTTCTGATATAATTGGGATTACAGGGACGTAGTGGGATAGTTTGCATGACTGCAGTAGGGTTACGAATGGCTATAGCTTATTCAGGAAAGATAGATGGTGGGGAAAAAGGAGGAGGTGTTGCTGTATATTCAAAGGAGATGTATATGTGTTCTGAGGTACTGTACAAAGTGGAAGGTAGGCCTGCTGACAGCCTCTGGATAAAGATCAGAGAGGAGAGTAGCAGAGGGGAAGTTATGGTGGGCATCTGTTACAAGCCATCAAACCAGGACGAGAGGAGGTGGACAAGGCCTTCTTTAAACAATTGGAGGGTTCGGTCTAAATCTGGTTGGATCAATAGGAGTGTCACTTGCAAATCAGAGGAAGTGATTCTTCTGCTGTATTAGGCATGGGTGAGGCCTCACCTGGAGTATAATGTCTCATTTTGGGCCCCAGACTTCAAGGGAGATATGGATAGATTGGAGAAAATCCAGTGCAGAGCAACAAAAAGGACTGGGCCTCTGGGAAGTAAGACTTATGAGGAAAGGCTGGAAGAACAAGGGTTGTTGGGAATTTATACACATACCTGCCAAAGTGGCAATGAAAACACTGCAATCTGAACAGTTTACCATAGGGGATTTCTGTGGGACATGGTTGAAGGGTCAGCTGGAAATCTCAAAAGTAGCAACACAGTTTTCTAGCAAGTTAGTAGGTAGCATGAAAAAACATGAAAAATATCTTTTTGAAAATGAGGTGATACTTGCAGCTATATACCTGGATCCTAGGTATCAATTGCTGTTGTCTGACATGGACAGAACTAAAGCCAAGTGCCATCTCATGTCAACGTGGCAGAGGATGAGAACTGTCGTTCATGGCAATGGCATGAAAGTAGAATCATCATTCAACTCTAATCTGCATACTACACACACAGAAAATGCTGATGAAGAATCATTCCTTTAGTCGAGAGAACTTGAAGCTGCAAAAGTCACGTCTTCTGGCACCCAGTCAAACAGGATTGGTCCATTTCTGGACTCATTTGTGGATAAGCCATGATTGAATAAAGATGTAAATATTATGAAATACCGGGAGACTCAGAAAATATCTAGATGTGAGCTGTACCAGTTGGCTCAGGTTGCCTTGTCAATGCCATCAACTCAAGTAAACGCTGACCAGCATTTTCAAGTTTAAAATTCAAATTGTCACAACAAAGATCAAATATGAAGGAGGCAGTCTTGGAGGATGTTCTGTTAGTGAGACTGAATAGAAATGACAGAAAGCTGTAATACTGAGTACAAAACAATGCAAGTCAAGCATATTGGAAATACAATAGGCCCAAGATCCATCTGTTTAAGGTTGATAATTCTTTGTTTCCCTAGTTTTATTAAATCAGTTGAAAATATATCATCATAAGAAGTTAACTAATCACAGTGACAGTTTTGTGATTATTTACTAAATCCTTTTCCTTTCCTTCCTCTTTAAAATTGATTTGGTTGCTTCTTCACCAATTACACATATCTCTGATTGTACAATTAAAATTAAATAGTATAAATAAAATAAGCATTTATTTGTTAAGTACTTAGAATTTATTTTTTGTTTTGTGCATGCTTCATAATACTTATTGCTGACACTTAGTTGCAACAGTTTTAGACCTATTAGCTTGCTCCACCCCATTGTGCAAATGATCATCATTATAAATAATGTGCCTTACTTAAATTTTCTCATGTGAACCGGTTGGTTATGTGTGCCAAACCGGTTACTGAACCTTTATTGGCCTGGATTGGAACCAAACTGAAACAACTGCAGTGGCAGCTAACCTGAACTGGAACCGAACCAAAAAATTTAATGTTCTGATTCCCTGACCACATCAGGTGTGTTTTGTTTGATTGAACCCTTATTCTGAACCAGTAACCTGATTTTTTTTTGTGGTTCTGTTCTGGTTCAGGTTCAACAGAGACTTTCAGGTAATGGTTCAGGTTTTGTTCCAGTTCAGGAAAAAATAAAGGTTCATTCTGGTTTTTGGTTCAGGTTTGGTTTGACTCCCTGGTCTGCCCCGCCTGTGAGCTGATGCACACTGCGCTGTGATGGATACAGTTGTATAAGCAGCGAAATGCAGGTCAGTGCACAGAAAACGGTGGTGGTGCGCTTTTGAACTAAAACACCTTTGATGTGTTTTAGTTCAAAAGTGTGCTGCTGCCATTTTCTTAGCACCGTCCTACATTTTGCTGCTTATACAACTGTATCCATCGCAGCGCAGTGCGCATCAGCTCGCAGGCGGGGCAGACCAGGGAGTCAAACTGAACCTGAACCAAAAACCAGAATGAACCTTTATTTTTTCCTAAACTGGGCTGGGCACTTTTAAAAGCACCTGGCGCTGTAGCGCAAGCAAGTGTACAAATGCCCATTTAGTCTGGAGAAGAGAAGACTGAGGGAGGTTTTGATAACAGTCTTCAAATACATGAAGGGCATATATAGGGAGGAGGGAGATGTGCTTTTTTCTTTGGCCTTAGGGGACAGGACTAGCAGCGATGATATCAAGCTGCAGCAGAGGAAATTTAGGTTGAAGATAAGGAGGAACTTTTTCACTATGATGGTGGCCAACCATTGGAATATAAATTAGTTGTTGAATCTCCATCCTTAGAAACTTTCAAGACCAGGTTAGACAGATACTTGCCTGGGATGCTTTAGTCAGGTTTAATCCTGCCTTGAGCAGGGGGCTGGACTAGCCTTCATGAGCTCCCTTCCTACCCTACTTTCCTATGATCACATCCCCCAAGTTCAAAGGGAAAGACAGTCACCACTTCTTCTGCCTCGTTGTGAATGATAAGGCCATGAATCAAATTCTGTTGAGTTAAAAGGAGTGGTGGATGGGTTTGCTATGATGTGCCTGCTTACACCTGAGTGAACTCCTGGTGTAGCTTCCACTTACTATGGGATAGGAAAAGATGTATAAAAAAGCTGCTATAGAACAGCTTATGATATGTCTTCTCCTAATATGTGCTTTCCTCTTTTAATTCAGTATAATGTATTAGTCTGTTGGCTCCCTGAATTCCTTTGTGAATCTAGCCTGGAAAATTAAAGAACTTCACCTCAGAAGTTCTCAAATGAACTGCCTTGACATAGCCATTTTTTTCCATTCTTTATGGGCAGAAGCTATTTGCCAAATGTCACCCAAATTCACAGAGAATTTTGGCTGCCTCAAATGTGTATTTTTCAGCAAATAAGTTTTCTACTAAAAAATGTACACACACGGCTCTACTGCACAACACTGGATTCACAAACTGTTTCTTTAACCAAGAGATCATCCATCTGCCTTCCTTTTTTATAGTTTCATAGTTGTTAGGGGCTGGAAGCGACGTTATAGATCATCAGGTCCAGCCCTCCTGCACTTGGGCAGGAAAGGCTGTTGGGATC